TATATATATATATATATATATATATATATATATATATACAGTACTTTGAGGGATTTGGTTCTTGATCAGCATGGCTTGTAACCTGAGGGTAGTAAACATGGGCTGAGACTGTACTGTCTGCTGCTTCTACCTGTAAGGAGACCTTTCTGTTCACCACGGTGAAGTCCACAGACCTCACTCATCTATTATTAAAGAGGACAAATGCAGGCCTCTCACCTCGGTCCATAATTAATCAGTGACTGAGGTGTGCAGGGCCGCTGTGAGCATGTCGGACAGCGCTGAGCAACTGAGCCCGGTCCCTGAGCGGATGTACCGCTTCTCACATACTCTTACTGTAATCCAGCTCCCGCCAGAGAGACAGACACGTAACACTCTTTCTAGTCTAGGTACATCATGATTCAGATTTCAGCAGTCATAGATCTCAAACGTCTGTTATCAAATTCTTCAAGAATTACTATACAGCTATACTGTCAGTTTAAATATTATGGAGCTATGATCAAACTGTATGTTTCTGAGATCATGTTAAGACTTCCATAAAATGTAATTTTGAACTCCAATAATTCTTCTAAACAATACATAAAATAATTTATACAATAATTGATATATTTTAAAAAGTCATGGAAAACAGTTTTCCATTGAAATTGCTGTGGTGATTATAGTATTTTTGTTCTGATCTACAATATATAATTTATCTAGATTTTGATCTTGTGTAACTTTGTGAGAGAACTGTTCTTTTGAATTGGTTCTTTTGAACCAATTCAGTCAAATTGTTCTGAATGATTCATTAGTGAATCAATATGAATCAAAATGATTTGAACATGTTCAGCAATCACAAATGACTCCAATAGAAAGGGTGTGAGATCCCTGAAAATTTTTGAAAATTTAAATCTGATAAAGTAATAGATAATGTCAGTATTTGTTCTATCGATGTATTGGCTGATATGAATCCTAACAGAAAGTACTCAAGCAGCCTGCTGTTGCTATGTTTACTTGCTTAGATGATCACGACTCATGAAAATCCACACTCTGAATCTGAACTTACTTTTGTGTTTGTGGAAATGTTCCTCATGCATGCAGTATGAAGAATTAAATATGTTGAGTGTCTGCTTTTGAAGACCCTCAACCTTTTGTTTGGACTTAAGCACTTCTGTAATTCTGGCTGTATTTTATAAGAGATGCACACATATAGAAATGTGACTGAAAATGCATCGCGTTTGCATTGTGTTCAAGGCACAACAACATCTCTCTCCACGTTTGCGTTCCCTTTGATGAACAAAGAGCTGCATTTTCATGAAGACCCAGTGAAGACGTCCAAATTTCACATCATATTGACTGACTCTGAATGAACCTCTTATTGCCCTTAATTATCGATAGATGTTGGCCCAAAAACAGATTGGCCACTCGCCTGAGCTTTGATCTCTGAAATGAGACGTGACCACCAGAGCCTTGTGAACTGATCAATAGACACCTTTTAAAGGGGTCATATGATGCGACTTCAAGTTTTCCTTTCTCTTTGGAGTGTTACAAGCTCTTGGTGCATAAAGAAGATCTGTAAAGTTGCAAAGACTAAAGTCTCAAATCCAAAGAGATATTCTTTATAAAAGTTAAGAGTCAACCACGCCTACCTAAAACGGCTCATTCTAACACGCCCCCACATGTCTACGTCACTATGTGGAAATATTAGCATAATGCCGCCCAAATGTGCACGCAAAGAAAGAAGGCGTGGTTTCAGGAACAGCAGTAGTGTTGATGCAGCCATGTCAGGGAGATGCTGTGTATTTCAGTGCGAAAGCAAAATCACTTTATTTGGCCTTCCAGAAATAGATGCAATTAAGAATCATTGGTTAAGATTTATTTACAACAGAACAGCACAAC